TTTTTTTTTTTTTTTTTTTTTTTTACACTACTAAGAAAACTGATTACTTGAAAACCGACAACTGAACTTTTTTGAACAAATCAACGTTTAAATTTACACAAAAGTTACGCTTTTTACGACTTTTCCGTCGCAACAGACGAGGTGGATTTTCTTTTTTTCATTAATCACTTGGTCTCGTTCAATTACGAATATCTAGACGTACATCTCTTCATTAAATTAAATTATAAGAATAGGATTTGTCATTTAATAGGGCTTAATAGGATTTCTCATAAATTATAAGAATATCGATTTGCCATTTAACTGCCATTATTTGGCATTTTTAATTGCCATTCGAGATTTCTGAATCTCATCGAGTTAAGCCGAACTGAATGCAAGGAAGAACAATGATAGAAAATGATAGAAAGCTAGAAAGAATGTTTAAACTTTAAACCAAGTTGGCAAACTAATCGAAGAGATCGTTCGTTGCGTCTGAAATCGTTTCGCGCGTCGATTTCATTGTCAACGGGCGATAATGCCGCCCTCCCTAGCTCCTCTCGCTAAAATCGGCAAGTTGATGGTTATTCACCGCGCTAAATTTAGCTGGAATTTTGTATAAATAGTACGTAACCATTGCAGAAATGCTTCGAAAACGTAAACAGCATACCTGGCTGTCGTCAAACCCGTGGATTTGCGACCGGCCTAATAACGATCACGACGAACGATCGTCACGACGTTCGACCATGATGCGTTTCGCGGGTCCAGCGAAATCGTTCACCCACGTTCTCGATTAAATTTACACACGATGGCTACACAATTCTCTGCCGGTCTTTTTCACTCAACAAATCAACGTTTGCCAAAAACGTTTAATTTAGTTTCACGATGCGTTTCAGAGCTGGCTAGTGGGAACACCATCGATAACGACATCCAGTTCTAAGGAAGTGGGAACATTGAACGAACATACGAGAAAAGACACATACGGAAAAGACCGAGAAGGCATTCAAAGGGGGAAAAAACGATGTTTACGACTACGATTTTTGTCTTCGCGTTGAACACACTGTGGATGGTGTGTGAAGCAGTGCCGTTGCTTGATCTGAGAAACAGGTTGGAAGAGAACGCATTGGACGCGATGATCTCTTGTTCCTCGAATGAAGATTGTTGGCAATGGTTGTCGGTACAGTTTCACAAAAATGCCCCCTTGATCTCAGAGAAGAGCCTTGCCGCATCAAAGTAAGTACTTTTTTTATGGTGTTGCCGGCTCATACGTTGTGGCTAAGAAATAATACTGTTACGGATTGTAGAATGAACATCCGACGAGATGCTTCAAACTTAGACCCGAATGCGATAATAGAAACGTGGGATGACAATTCTTTGCTGACTACCAAGCAAATTGGGAACAGATTGTCGAAAAAGGATGCTGTTATGTCACGTAGTTGGGGTGCCGGTGGCATGCCCTTCTCCGTCCTATATATGAATCCACATGGCTCTCGTGGAAATCACGCCAGTAAGGAAATATTAAACAAGAACGAAAATGATAATACATTACCGCATACAAGTACAGATACACATGGCACATGTTATGTTAAGGTACTTCTCAACAACAAGAATTGGAAAGAACTGAAACTACAACACCACCCGTAATGCACCCTAACACACGCATTGCTTTACGTAACGGAAGTTCCACGCAACCGAGAAGACAATACTCGATAATACCACAGCTTTTTAGATCATACGGATGGGTTCCGTTTGGCAAATGAAAAGAATCTGCTCTACTCACAAAACATCACTACAAGTGCAATACTGATCTCATAATTTTGCTATACGAGAAATCAACTGTAGAGATATTTAGTTATATCTAGTTTTAACTAAGCGTCGTAATTTTGGATAGATGACAATCTACGAATCTTTTTCTAAAAGGCCACCGCAAATAACAATAACTTCTTCATGTTGTTCGTTATCTATTTATACTTACTTCTGGAATACTTTCTTTCAGAATTTTTAATTTAATCTACTAAGGAATTTCTTAACTTTGTCAATTATAAGTAATTATTTCAAAAAGTCGCCTAGTTCTTTAAATTTTCGTTAAAGTTTCAGTTTTGAAAGTTGAAATTTTACTACTTCCTTGGATGACTCTACCTCGTTACGTACAAAATTACCATTCAGTCTTTTTGCTTACACGATTCAGAAACACAATACAATAAATTTTAAACGAAAATTTAAACGTTTAGCTACGTTTGGTTGTATCAAAATCAATTTCTTTATATGTACATTTAAGAACATAATCTAATTTAAGTTGTTATAATAAGAAATTATTTAACTCACCATTCATTTCTTTCATTGCTTTGATAAAGTCTTGTGGGTCTTTGAACGATACAAATCCAAATCCTTTCGTCTTGTTTGTTCTTTTGTCTCTGACTACTTTTGCTTTTTGAAAGCTCGGATACTTGCCAAAGACTCTCACCAACATCTCATCCGTGACATCATTTCCCAAATCTCCGCAAAATATTCTGAAATCGTCTGTAAACACAAAAAAAATACCGAAAATATATTTAAAGCAAAATAAAATTTATGAAGAATATAAACGTGAATAAATAATTACCTTCATCCCATTCTAGCAGGGAAGGATCCTCCCATATTTGTCCACCAGCCATTCGTACAATCTTCTTATTTTTCTTTCCTTTACCTTTAGGATGAGTCTCTTCAGCACTAGCATTGGCCATGATAGAACTTGCCTTCCCTTGACTAATCGCTAATTCTGCTGCAGTACTAACACCTTTCACCTTGGGTTTCTTTTTAGTGTCATCTTCTGGAATCTTTGTATTGATAATCTGTTCAATAATTTCGGGATGAATCATTGGTGTCGATGTAGATTCATAAGTTTTTGGAGTAGCACTTAAACAAGGATCCACCATATTTGGTAAGTATGGATTACTTATTTGCGCAGGTGATGAATATGTCGTAATAGAAGGGACGGCACCTACATAAAAAAGTTTC